CTGAAGGTCAAAGAATAAATAAGGGAAGGAGGTTTCTCATCAGGGGTGCTCCTTGTCTGAAGATGAAGAAACCCTGAAAAAGGCTTAGAAATACACAAGAGGTGATGAATGCTGCTCTACGTTTAGGCAGGTTTGGGGCCCAGCAGAACTTCAAACTCTGATGAAATCACTAGGGACCGAGAAAGAACGTGATAGAAAGGGGAAAACCCTATGGAATGAAAGATTTGCCTATTATTACCACGTTCCCAACCATTCCTACTGAAAAAGACCTAAATGGATGTAATAGACATAGTAGATACGGACCCAGCAAGAGAATCTATCACAACAGCTCCGTGTTTTTGGTCCCTGAAGTTCTCTCAGAATGGCTCCTTAAAAGTAGGGTCACCAAAGAACCTCTGTTTGGCCACATGTTGTGTTTTCAACAAAAGATCTTACATGGAAGATGAAAAACCTACATTGACTGTCCCAGGTTTTTGAATGACACGTGAGTCATTCAAGTAACCACTTTTGCCTTTTTTTTTTTTTGAGACAGAGTCTCACTTTGTCGCCTTTGGTACAGTGCTGTGGCATCACATCTCACAGCAACTTCTAGCTCTTGGGCTAGAGTGATTCTCTTGCCTCAGCCTCCCGAGTTGCTGGGACTACAGGTGCCTATCACAACACCTGGCTATTTGGAACCTGTCACCCTCGGTATATGGGGCTGGCGCCCTACCACCTGAGCCACAGGCACCGCCCCACTTTTGCCTTTTCCTGACAAGTTAAATACATAAAATATGGTATCACATAACAAAAAAGTGAAATCCACATGAAAGCCTAAATTCAGTGTTTTAGAAGACAATTTTGCTGGGCTTCATATACAGCCCACAGTTGTTTTAGGATGTTAAAAAGTCAGGCTTTATTGTTTTAAATCATTATGTACTACAGAGATAAAATCCTGAGAAAATCATTTTTTACCGGGTTAATAGCTATTCATAGTCTTTTTAAACTAGCGGAGATTCTACCACAAAAGATAGGCTATTGCAATTTTCTAACTTTCTATTGATAGAATTTCTTTCTTAGTGGAAGTGTCCTTCCTTCCTTCTGCTATAAGGAAGTTTTTCTTCCTCCAGGGTCCCACCCAGGAGGGAGCTCGTGGTGGCTGTAGACCATCGATAATGGCTCCTCAGACTTCCCCCAACAGCTCTGGTGGCTAGAATCAACTGCTACCTCCGCAAAGTGACAGCTCATGGGGGGAAGATCATGGAGAGATCCAAGATCAAGTCTTTTGTGAAAGTTACTAATTATAATCACCTTACACTGCAAGGTACTCTGTGGATACCCCCTGGGACAAAGCTGTCATCAATAGGGATGTCCTTAGAGAACCCGCTCTTAAATGCAAGGCCCGATGGGAGGCCAAAGTCAAGTTTGAGGTCTAAAACAGGCAAGTTCTTCCAGAAGCTAGGGTTTCAGGTGGATTTTCTTTCAGTCATTAAAAACATTAAAAACTTAAAAAAATTTCTGGGCGGTGCCGGTGGCTCAGTGAGTAGGCACCAGCCCCATATATTGAGGGTGGCAGGTTCGAACCCAGCCCCGGCCAAACTGCAACAAAAAAATAGCTGGGTGTTGTGGCAGGCACCAGTAGTCCCAGCTACTTAAGAGGCTGAGGCAAGAGAATTGCCTAAGCCCAAGAGCTGGAGGTTGCTGTGAGCTGTGATGTCACAGGACTCTACCGAGGACAATGAAGTGAGACACTCTGGCTCTAAAAAAAACAAAAAAATTGGGGGGCAGCGACTATGGCTCAAAGGAGTAGGGCACCGGCCCCATATGCTGGAGGTGGCTGGTTCAAACCCAGCCCCAGCTAAAAACTGCAAAAGAAAAAAGTCTTTTTGACTGGAAAAAGAAACTTCCAGTGAGAGATGATCTCTTTACGCAGTTGGACCAAAGGGCAATTAACTGCAAGGTACTTACTGGTGTTCAATTAATACTTGAAATACAAATCAGTAAGACATTTTGGGAGATCCCACAATTCTGAAGCTTCCTTCCAAACCTCTCTCACTATTTGATCAGAATCACTTAATTCGACCAGGCCATGGGTTCTGCATGAATCCAGAGTGTAAGGTAAGCCTTTTATCTGGAACTGACAGTACAAATAATAAAGTGCTCAAGAATACATTCCCAACCGGTAAAAGTAGAAATTAGAACAATGGGAAGTAGTTACTCCTTAAAAATAGTGCTTTGATTCTCCAAAGGGAGTCACTGAGCCTCCCGGAACATTTTTGAGGGTCTAATTAAGAACTGTTGACTAGACATGAAGGCTGTGTTGACCAGTTTGATGGAAGTATTTCGGATTGCATGTGAAAACCCCACACTGTACCCTAGAAGTGCATTAATGTACATAGTTACCATTCAATTAAAAAAAAAAAAAAAAGAACCGTTGACTAATTACTTTCATTGGACTTCCTTCTCGAGGTCCAGAGTTACACCTGTCCTTCCTCCTCCTCCTGATAAGAACAAGCTATCCCAACCCAAGATGAAAACTCCCAGAATGAAGCCACAGTAGGTTGGGAGGCAGTTGAGTGAGGTATTCTTTGCACCTTCAGGTGCTGAAAACTCAGTCTCTTCTGAAGAGTTGCCAGGTCCTGGATCCTAGCAGGGCCAAGCCAACCCCTAAGTGCTATTAAGATTCACAGCGAGTGGTCCTGTTCCTCCTGGCATGGCTTTCCCAGCTGGGAAAGAGAGTTCAGAAGACCTTCAGACACAGGAGCAACCTTGCTTCTGCAGATAATTGGAAATGACTCTGAAGGATGTTTTATTTGGGGGACTTTCAGACAGATGCACTTATGGAACGAAATCAGCCATAGTGAAAATGAAATGACAGGACAAGGTAAAAGAACCAGAATAGTCCATGAATCGCCTTATTCCTTACTCTTCTGGCGGGAACAATATGAAAATGAAATGATTTCACTAAGAAAAGTCTTCAAGGCACAGCTCCTTTAAGAATCAGTTCTGCTGGTAAACCAACAAAAATCTCTACTTCCTCAAGGGATTTTAAATATATCAGTGACCCTCTTTTTGCCCCCACTCCCCACCAGCCAAATTTAAACTAACCAAAGAATCTACGGGTATAAAATTACTGCCTGGGTGGGGTGGGGGAGGGACTCTTATGTGATCTGAAGGACTGTTACATTTACAGCCAAAAGGACAGTGGAGACATTAGTCCCCACGCTGATCTCTTCAAGAAAAATATAGCTAGATTTGGAGGGGAGGAGGCTAGAATTAAAGATGGATTTTCCTCTTTGTGCTCTAAAATTTCATTCTCTCTAAAAGCAGAGTGAATCAGACTGAGTTGTCAAACAAAAAGTAAAATGTCATGGCATTTAGCAGTCAGAATAATCTACTGCATTGTCTGGGCTCTGCAACCTGTCACCTTATTTATTAGTTTTTCAGCTTTCTTGTCATTTCCAATTGGGTTTTAAAACAACAGAGCAAACTCTTCCCACCGAATTCAGGATAATTAAAACAACATTCTGCTCTCACTTTGGAAATAAAGAATGTGTTTCATCCAAGTAAATCTTGAAGGTGTTAGTCGAGGGACAGACCAGACAAAAAGGACACTTAATACACACATAAATCATTTGCATTACAAATAAGACATTTCAGCAGGGGCTGGACTCGCTGCCTGACAGTGGGGATTAAGTTCCCATATTAATGCATGCATTTGGTGTGGTTATTTCGGGTGGAAGACCTCATCCATCAATGCCCTCGGCCTCTAAGTAAGGCCAGCCTGTAAACTGATCACCCAGCCTGTCAACACTGGTTACTTAATTACATAAAGAAAATATATTTAAAAGACTTTTGATAATTTGGTTAGTGTTTCAACGTTGGGTTCCATGGGTAGCATCTTTTTAAAGGTTCTTCCAACTAATGCTTCAAAATGTTGGTAAGAATTAAAAACGAAAAACCCGTTAGGTTCCCTGCAAATCTCCTTTTTCTCTTATTTGCAAAAGGGAAAAACAAAGATTTGGTAAGCAGCAATGAAGGCAAATAGGGATGAATATTAATATTAATATTTTACAAAGGTATTTCCATTAAAATTAAACTCAATGTACGCGGGCTACGACTTTGGGCTCTTTTCTAGCTATTTTCATGATTACTAATTCCAGTTTACTTATGTTATTAATCTGTAGCTTTAAAATACTGATTCTACGATCAATGTCCATATAATCTCCTTTTTTTTTTTTAATAAAATGCAGAAACTTTATTAAAGGGGAAACTTTGTTAGAGAAAGCATTTCTTCTAATGAATAATAGTTTTACATTTTCAGTTTAATTATTTCTAAAGTGCTACATATTATGAAACTATCTGGAAGAAAACTCATGATAATCAGTAATATTCAAAGATATTCTCTTTTATCCAGGTGTTTGATTTTCTTTCCATGTAAGAATTTAATAAGGAAGTTCCAGAAACACTGAGAAAAGCAAACATGTCTTCATCTACATATTTTAAACGTATTATAATGAAAATAATGTTACATTATCAATCTATTGCATTTTATTGTAGCGTCAATAACATCATAACTTCTTTTTCAAAAGCTTGATCAAGTTTATTAACCATTTAAGAAAGCATTCCAAGCTCCCCACTCCCTGCAAATTGCAAATACATGGTAAAAAAAAAAAAAAAATCTGTGATAAAACCTAAAGAAATATACTTGAAAGTGTAATCTGCTGGCTATGAGCAATTAACATCCTGAGATGACACTTCAAGGATTCCTTGCAATTGAATGATAAAATCATATTTGGTAATTTTAGGCAGTATTCCTTTAGAAGCTACTTTTATCAGAAAGTTTTTCTATTCATTATACTCTTGCTGGAGTTTCCCTCTGCAGGATCTTTTCCTTGAATCACAGTGATTCTATTATTTTACCTAGTCTGTTTAAGAAGTTGGATATTTGTTTGAAAATCAATACCAGCATCAAGACTTTCTTCAAAAGTACAACAGAAAGATTTGGGGGTGAGCCTTACCCTCTTTCTTGGTTGGTTCTGGCATGGCTACAAGAAGATGTTATTCTCCTACGAGTTTTCTTCCCTCCAGGACTAGTTGATAGAAAGCCCACAAGCGATCGAGAGATGGTGCAGGTCAGTGTGACAAGCAGTTGGGGAGAAACCCAGTGCCTTTATACCGCCCCTGAACATCAATCAAGCTGGCACCTCCCTCCCTTCAGCACAAGGATGCAGGGACTTGACAGCTACCGGGACCTTTCTCGCATCTGTTGTCTGCACTCTGCTCTCTCGCCTACTGGAAGGAATCTCCTGTCCATCTCATGTGGCTGATGAGAACACCTCTAACTTTCTAAATTCAGCTGCAGCCTCGTGCTCCTCCTCGCTCCTCTCTCTCTGTCTGACAGATGCTTGTGCTGACTCAGGAGTGCAGAAGTCTGCTGGATGACAAAAAATTACAAGTCGTAATATGCCAAAACTTCCACTAAGATGGGAAAGCAAAACCTCTTTATTCAGAACATAACTGACTACTCCAGTTAGCTTTTTGTGTTCATCCGTTTTTAATTATTGGGTTTTTAGGTTTTCCTTATTGTTTATTGCTATGTCAATATTAATTTGTCCAGCCGGATTTCTTAGTTAAATATCTGATTTTCGATTTCCTTCTCCAGGAATATCCAATGTTTTTACTAAGGGATTCTTAGCATTTGTCCTTTTTCAAGTAATGTCTTTTAATAAACTGTAATGCACTGAAAAAAATGAAAAAGTGAAAACTATGGGGCATATGAAAGAATGAGGTAATGGTACGTGTGAAACAAGCATGAAGCTTGAGAACATTGTGCTAAGTGAAAGAAGACAGGCACACACACAAAAAAATAGACTGTAAAATAGTAGACCGCGTAAGGTGCAATTCCAAGTGTATGAGATGTCCAGGATGGGCAGACCCGTAGAGTCAGAAAGTTGATTGGCAGTTGACAGGGGCCTGGGGAGGTGGCATTGGAAGCAACTGTTAATGGATATGGAATTTTTTTGGGTCATGATGAAAACGTTCTGGAATTAGATAATGGTGATGCTTGCACAACTTTGTGAATATATTTTTAAAAAACTGGATTATATGCTTAAAATATGTATGGGGCATAAGCAAAGTAAGTTGAATAGACCAGTAGCCATTGTTTTGAATCAAGATGACAAGTGGGTACACCAATTAACTGAAGACACTGGTAGAATGTATTGGATGTGGTTACTGTCTCCCCTAAACTCTCCTGGAACTGATGGAGAAATATGAACTCCCAAGTAGTCAAAAGAGGCTCCTTTTTTTCTTCGTTTCCATACACTAGGACCAAAATCAGTTTATATGAAAACACAACTATCTGCATGTCTTTATTGGTGTGTGTTTTTAAGACAATTTTGAAGAGACTTTGACCAATTTGTACAGAATTAGCCACACTGTCTCGTCTGATTTCCCTTGTGGCTAAGGGCGCAGCTGGTCAGACTTAGCTCTCCCAAACTCTGTGCCAAGTTCACTTTTCATGTCAGGGTGGAAACTTGACTTAGAACTCAGTAGCATCATGCTTTAGCTATGTGGAAGGGACTGGAAGGCCGGTCAAGATGGTCAGTGAACATCTTTCATAAAGAAAGCCTCTTCCCAGCCACTTAGCACACTGTTGGACTTTTTACAAATATCCCGTTGCCTTTAGATGCTGAACAGTTAATGTCAGCTAGAAAACAGCACATTCTGTGATTCAGAAGCAGCTTGAAAGAAAGAAAATTAGCTTTCTTGAGGCCTTTAGGGGAATGTCAATGAATAGAATCTGAAGTCAGACCCCTGTATTCTATCTCTGGACTGATCATTAACCAACTGAGTTACCCTTAAGAAAGTCAGGAGGCCTTTCTGGGCCTCAGTTTCCTCTTGTGTAAAATGAAAGGCTTAAAAAATGACCTCTGATGCTCCTTCTAGGTTTAACATTGTGATTCTGTTCAGTAAATTCCTAAAAAAAGAATCTTCTTCTTCTTTTTTTTTTTTTAGCATTCCCAGCACACCAAGCACCACATATGAAACGGACATAGGGCAGAGTGTCACGTTGCAGAAGAATGTTTATAGTGATGGGCAGATTTCACACATGCCACAAATGAGGTGCCAGGCCATCACTGGCTTCTACAGAAACCCCACTGGGGTTTTGATACAGTGATCATTTTACTGAAATGAACATGTGCCAGGAGATATTGCAGTCCACGGAGAAAGTATTTTATGACCTAGGTAACTTTTTGGTAATAAAGGACTTGCTTCTAAAAAGACAAAACATGACTGGAGGAACTGGAAGTAGGAAAAATTCTAGGATAAATGGCTGTGCTGTGTATGAGATGGTTAAGGTGGAATTTTAAATCAGGATTATAAGTAGACCTACATGATTTTCCCAGGACTGCATTGTTTTAGGAATACATAATTCCTATTTCAGATCTTAGATGTTCATCGAGAAGGCTGCAGACTCCAGCTGTACTCTCAGGAAAGGAATGAAGGGCATGGCCAATGGCACTCTTTTTTTAAATTTTCCCTTTTACTAAATGCTTTATTGGATTTTTTCTTTTTGTATTGCCAAAGATGAGGTTTGGCCAAATATATTAATAGCACAAAACCACAAAATAACAACTGAATCAAGATAGAAGTGTTTCTCCCTCCCATAAAGTAAGTCCAAAAGCAAATGGTTTAGAGTTACTATAGTGGCCCCAAGTGTCATCAGGAATCCAGACACCTTCTTCCTGCTCTACCATCCTCCAGGTAACCTCATAGTCTGATATGGCTCCCAATACTCCAGCAATTGCATCCATATTCTGGGCAGCAGGAAAGAAGGAAAAAAAAAACCTTTCTCCATTTTAAGGAGCCTGATTTGAAGTCCTACCCAATGTATCGACTGTATCCCACAAGCCTGAACTTGATTACATGGCTATACCTGGCTACAAAAGAAACTGGGAAATATCTTACATTCTCAGTGGCAATGGACTTAGCTAATAATTGGGGTTCCAAGGCCAAATGTGTGGCTCATGCCTGTAATCCCAGCACCATGAGGGTTTGCGGTAGGAGGATGCTTGAAGCTTCAAGACAAGCCTGGGCAATGTAATGAGACCCCGTCTCTATGTTCGCTGGGCATGGTGGAGCATGTCTGTAGTCCCAGCTACTCAGGAAGCTAATGCAAGAGGATCGCTTGAGCCCAGGAGTTTGAGGTTGCAATGATCTATGATCATGCTGCAGCACTCCAGACCTAATAAATAAATGAATGAATAAATAAATTCTAAAAATGGTTAATAAAAATGAAATAAAAGTACAAATTGGGGTTCTGTTCCTGAGAAGACTGGATGTAGAGAATGGTGGAGAATGGATGTTGGATAGGCAAGTGTCAATCTCTGCCACACCTTTCAGAACAAAAGTAATAATGTTCCTGCATCAGCCGAGAGGATGGAGAAGTATAAATAACCACCAGTCTCACCCTCTCCCCAACCCCATCCTCGTTCCGAGGTGTGAATTAGGGCCTAACTTTCCTCTATGCTGATACAAACATGCACAAATTTGTATGTTCATACATATGAAGTTCTTCATCCACTTATTATAACTGGGATCATACCATTTACATTGGTCTTCAACTTGCTTTTTCCATTTAACCTGTCACAGACATTTCTCCACATGAACATCTGTAGACCTAACTCAAACATGTTAATAGCTAAATAATTGTTTATGATACAAATGTGCTCCGTAGTGTGCCATGTTTTCTCAGATATGTCCCTTTTGATGGGCAGTGAGGCTGTTTTCAGTGTTGACCACCATAATTAATACTGCAATCAATATCATGGTAAGATAACAGGAAATTGTGTTGGTATGACTCCCTGCTAAGCTGGGAAAGGCAGGAAATAAACAAGTTTGGACTCCTAATTCACACAATATAGAAAAAAGGAATTCTAGAAGCAAGTCTTAAGTTTAGAAAACAAAATAATAAACATACTGGAAGAAAATTGAGAGTATTTGAATAATCCTAAGTGGAGACACTTTTTTAAAAGTGAGAAAGATGGTACCCATGGCTCAGTGGGTAGGGCACCAGCCACATACACTGCGGCTGGTGGGTTTGAACCCAGCCTGGGTCAGCTAAGGCAATGATGACAATTGCAACAACAACAAAGAAAAAAAAATAGCTGGGCATTGTGGCGGGCACCTGTGGTCCCAGCTATCTGGGAGGCTGAGCCTGGAGGATGTCTTGAGCCCCAGGAGTTTGGGGCTGCTGTGAGCTGTGATGCCATGGCATTCTACCCAGGGTAACACCTTAAGACTCTTTCTCAAAAAAAAAGTAAGACAGAAAGTCCAGAAGCCATAGGGAATGGGTGACAGATTCGAATAAATAACACCTCAATACTTTTAGAGCAAAAGACATCATAAAATTGCAAAATAAAAAAAGGAAGGAAAAAAGTTTGAAAAACATATAGATAGAGTTCATACCACTTTAAAAAATAGAGCAAAGGATTTGAAGAGATATTCGTAGAAGAAGAAATAGAAATCACCAATAAACATGAAATATTGCTTCACCTTTTGGAAAATGGAAGCAAATAGTCAGTAATCGTTTCTCATCCTTTAAGTAGACAACTTTTTTTCTTAATGATAATATTCAGGTTGTAAGAAAATAGGCTGTCTTAAACATTGCTGAAAAAATAGTCCAGCACAAATCTTTTAAGATTTAAACTATGTGTGTATACCAACAAGCTTACTTTTAAGAATCTATCCTACTGATTGAAAAATATCCATCCATAACATTATAGTCCTTTTTCATTCCTACTAAATATTTTTATTTTCTCTCTGTCCATTAATAAGTTTTTCCAGGGTCTAACTGTTTTTTGTTGTTGTTGTTGTTATTTTTTGAGACAGAGTCTCACTATGTCGTCCTCGGTAGACTGCCATGGCATCACAGCTCACAGCAACCTCAAACTCTTGAGCTGATGCAATTCTCTTGCCTCAGCCTCCCAAGTAGCTGGGAGTATAAGCGCCCACCACAACACCTGGCTATTTTTTTGGTTGCAGTTGTTTAGCTGGCCCAGTTTGGACCTGCCACCCTTGGTGTATGTGGCTGATGCCATAACCACTGTGCTATGGGCACCAAGCCAGGTATAACTATTTTTACTGGTGCTTTGAAATAACTAGTTTATAGTTTAATTGT